GCATTGCTTATGCCAGGTAAGTATGATGCCACAAGAGTGATGCCGTTGGTGATGCACCAATTCCAGAGTTGGACTGCCTCTGCATATAGGGATCGTGAGCGTGCTCCGCCCTGATGATTGATGTAGAACATTGTAGCCACGTTATCTGAGAGAATTTTTACCGTGGAATTGTGAATGTGATCCCGGAAACGTCTGCAGGCATTGAAGACGGCTCTGAGCTCCAGTAGATTTATATGAAGCAGTGTCTCTTGGTGTGTCTAGCGACCCTGTGTGGACATGTCGCTCATGTGGGCGCCCCATCCCAGGAGGGAAGTGTCTATAATAATTTGGTGTGTTGTTGGTGGTTGTTGGACAGGTACCCCAGATAGTACGTTCCTTTGTGCAGTCCACCAACGAAGCGACCTGATAACGTTGGGTGGGATCGCTACTGTCTTGTGTTCGTCTGGAGTGATGTGATTGTGCACAGCGGCCAGCCAGTGTTGAAGGGCACAAAAATGTAGCCTTGCATGTAGAACTATGAAGGTAGTCACGGCCATGTGCCCCATAAGTTTGACCACTAAAAGAACCTGAATTCTTGGGCTGGCTCGGCAGGTATCTATTCTAGATTGTATAGCGTCGAACCTGGCTAGAAAAAAGAATGCTCTGGCCGCTATAGAGTCCAATCTCGCCCCAATGAACTCTAGGTTTTGGGTCGGGACAAGGTTGATTTGTCTTTGTTTATTAGTAATCCCAGATAGTGGAAGGTCCATTCAGTGATGGTCAACATCCTGGCGACCTGTGTAGACAAATGGCCTTTTATGAGGCAATCGGCGAGATAGGGGAATATGTGCACGCCATTGTGACGGAGATGAGCTGCGACCACAGAGAGTACCTTTGTGAACACTCTGGGAGCTGATGAGAGTCCGAATGGGAGGACTCGGTATTGATAGTGATTACATCTTACCACGAATCTGAGAAATCGTCTGTGGGAGAGGTGAATTGTTGTGTGGAAGTAAGCATACTGTAGGTCGACAGCAACAAACCAGTCGTTTTGATCTAAAGCCAGAATAATAGATGCAAATGTTACCATCCTGAAACGCTGTTCTTGTAGGAACTTTAGTTGTCTGAGGTCCAAGATCGGCCTCCAACCTCCGGCTTTCTTCTCAACTAGGAAATAGTGGGAATAAAACCCTTCCCCCTGAATTCTTGCGGAACTGTTTCGACTGCACCAATATGCAGAAGATGACGGATCTCCGACTTGAGCAAATGCTCATGAGAGGGGTCCCCGAAAAGGGATGGGTTTGGGGGGGTTGTAGGTGGGATGGACAGGAAGGGGATAGAGTAGCCAGTTCTTATTATTTTTAGAACCCATCTGCCGTTGGTGATGTGTGCCCAGTAGTTGTAAAATGGGCATAGGCGATGTAGAAACAGTGAGGTGGTGAGGGATGAGACTGGTTGAGTGCTCCCGACCAAGAAGTCAAACTTGCTGTCTGGTGTTAGGCTGAGTTTGTGGACGATTATTCTGGTTGTGACGTCTTGGGAGTCGTTGGCGTTGTTGGAAATTGTCTAAGGGTCTTTGTTGTTGTTGATGCCATGGTTGTCTCTGGTGATAATAGTCATAACGCCGCTTGAATGGCGGAGTATACATCCCCAGAGTCCATAACATGGATCTAGTGTCTTTACTGGAATGCAATAAGGTGTCAGTTTTCTCTGTGAACAAATTGTCCTTTTTGAAAGGCAATTCCTCCACTTTGATTGCAGTTCTCTAGGAATTGCTGCTGCCTGTAGGAATGAGGCTCTTCTTATGACCACTGCCGTAGCAGTGGCCCTAGCTGCAGTGTCTGCCACATCAGCCGCTATTTGTAGGCTGGTTCTCGTGGAGGCGTATCCTTCATGCATCAATGCCTTCAGGATCGGTCTCTAAGATCCAGGCAAGCATTCCATGAGAGTTGAAAATTTAGAATAATTGTCAAAATTGTGATTTGACAAATGAGCCAAATAGTTGGCTATGCGAAGGAGGAGCGTTGCTGATGTATACACTTTCCTCACAAAGAGATCCAGTCTTTTTGAGTCCTTATCCGAGGGCTGGCTCCTATACTGTGGCGCACATGCTTGTCTGGCCGCATCAACCACCAAGGAGTCGGGCAACGGATGTGTAAAAAGGAACTCTGAGCCTTTGGGCAGCACAAAGTATTTCTTGTCCTCCTTCTTATTTGTGGGTAGGATGGATGCAGGGGTAGCCCAGAGTTCATTGGCAACTTCCAAAATTGCCTCGTCAAGGGGAATGGCCAATTTAGGAAGTTGAGAGATTTCCAAATTCTTGAAAAGTTTATGGTGGCGGGATCCTGAGGCTGTAAAGCCTTATCGAAAAGCATCATCCTAAGCCTCATTTCCCTATCGCGTCTAGCTCTTGAAGTGAGCTTGGAGCAGTGGGGGCATCTTTGTGGGACATGCCCCTCACCTAAACATCGAATGCAGGAGGAGTGACCATCAGAGGCAGGCATGGCCTCTCGGCAAACCTCACATTTTTTTAAACCCTGGGGAACAAGGCATTGTTGTATTCAGTCAGTTGTGTAGTTAAGAATAGAAAACATTCTTTTTTGTTTGTTTGTTATTTTTAAAAACAGGGAAGATTCAACTGGGAGAAAAATTCCAACTAGAACTTAAGGTAAGCACAAGAACTGTAGTACTTAAACTGAAGAGTTATGAAGAATTTTTTTTAAAAGAATAAAAGGACTCAAGCAGGGGAGATAATGTGACCTCTCTCTCTTTCTTAACTATTAACAAGCCTGAATTTGTCGTGTTTGAGAGAACCAGGGAGAAGCTCGTTGTTCTGTCTGCAGCCTGAGGCGGTTAAAGAGGAACTGGCTCAGACTGGTCCGAGCAGTGCGAAAGGGCGCGAAAGCCACAAGACGCTCCCCATGCATGCGCGGTCTGGCCGGACTACTGCTGCAAAAATCTCCATCCTGCGGTGCTGGGGCAAGCCCAGCACCTACAGTGGAGCACCCACAGGGACTCCTCAAAGAAGAACGTCAGTTTACTTGTACAAGAATACGTGGCCAGTGTAGACAGGCAGCAAGTTTTTGCGCAAGAGCTGCTGCTTTTGCGCAAGATCGCACCAGTGTCGACACAGCCTATGATTATGTACTTTTAAAAAAAGCCCTCAAAGCAAAATATATTTCCAAAGAATAAAAGCAGCCACTACAAACTGGCACTCCAGGTCCCGTCACCACCTCCACAGCTCTGGGGCTGGAGCACACAAAATCTGCTAGCTAGGCCCTCCCAGGCTTGGGAATGTGATAAGTGTCTTTTTCCTTCTCAGTTGAAGGCCATGTCAGTAAGGGTTTGTTTGGTTTCTCACTTGTGTGCGGCCCCTCTGATTTTTTTTGGGTCAGCAGCCCCCCACCCAAAAAAGTTCTACATCCCTGTTCTAGGACTCATTAATACTCAGTTTGATAGTTTTTGAATGAGAAGAACTAGTAAGAAAGACAAACAGTTGTGAACTTTGATAACTGAACATTCCTTCACAGAGCTGTTCCTCCCTGAGTTTATCAGGAGCTAGGGAAGTGGATGGGAGACAACTGTTCTGTAGGAAAAAGAAAGTTAGAAGCCTGAAAAACCATGGTTTATAGCAGGGGCTTAAATAAATCATTTTTATAATCAGTTAAACATACCTGTATAATTACTGAACTCAACTGATATCCAGCACATCAGCTAAAACAATTGGAGTCTAATTTTTGTCCTGACCTAAAAATAGCACTCAGCTCTGGTCTCCAGCAGGAAGCAACACTCCTGGGCAGTGCAGCTGTTTCCTATCAGTAATGTTTCCTTACTGTAATAGCATGGGGTTTGTTTACTCTTCTTATTCTGCCCAGAAAAGGACAAACTCTCTCCATGGCAGAATGCAGGAATCTACACTGAGATAGCTACCTTATACTAGGTCTTATTTTCCACCCAGCCCAAAGAAAAATTTACAATGTTCTTGGCAGCAACTGTGTATTCATGCAAAAAATATTAAGTGCAACATGGAAAGTATCCAGAGACAGTGTTAGTTTGAGTCACCTGAGAAAATATATAAAAAAAATCAAGTAGACGCCATCATTTTTTTTTTATTCAAACTTGGCCACCCCTAATTTCTTATGTGCTTGGATTTTTAATGTGAGTGGGAAAAGTTTAATTCAGGCTTCAGCAGTTTGGTGTTATGTAGAATTAACTGCCTGCAACCAATATTACTAAATCTTCTGATGGTCTCGCTTTTCACACCCTAAATACACTGACCTGCATAGACTGCTGTTCCTGGTTGTGTTCAGGGAACTGTTACAGGAGTAAAAAATGGTCAAAGTTTACTGATCATTATAATTTGCTGAATGGGGAAGAGGGCACTGCTCTGAGTAGGATCTGGTATACCATCATAATTCATAAACTACTACAAGTAGCTAACATGCAGCTCTACTGAGAGCTAAAAGCAGACACTGGAGTCTCAGAATTATAAGGTTTGGGGCACAAAACTGTGGGTCTAAAAATATACAGATAGTTTAAAGCAGGGGTGGTAATGAAAGCCCGGGGTCCAGATGTGGCCCCCAGCTTGCCTACATCTTGATTCTCTCCCACAGCATTGGGAAACCTGCATTGGCACTCCAGCCCCCATCGCTGTCCTCCCATGGGGCTGGAGCACACAAAATCTACTACCCTCGGCTCCCCAGGGCTGTGGTGCGTGAAGGGAATATGAGGAGTGTCTTTCTCCTTCTCAGTTGGGGGCTGTGTCAGCAAGGGTTGGTTTATTTCTCACTTTTTTGTGAGTCAGAACCCCCTCCCCCCAAAAAAGGGTTCCTCACTCCTAATTTAAAAATATCCACCAACGATTTTTAATTTATAGTGGTGGATTTTTTGGCACCTCATGATGTTTTCCTGCATCATGAAAGATTTTTTTTTTAAAGACTGTGCTTTTTTGCTTAAAGGCTGTGCTTACTATGTTCCAAGTTCGGTTTTCCAGCTTTCTTTGGTGGGCATTTTGAGACTTCCTAATGCATGCGATTTGAAAGGCCTCACACCTGAGAAAGCCTGGTGTCAAATCTTTGAAACTATTTATGTAAGTGTTAAAACAAATGCCAGCATATGCTATGAAGAGGCAGCTTGAGTGTGTGCTGCAGTCTGTAGGTGCCAGAGGAGGTGGCATATCTGCTTTGGTCATTGGTGCTAGGCCCAAGCATGCATCAGTCAGTGCGGAGGAGCCTGATTTACCCTTCAGCTCCAAAGCCTATTGGTGCCACTTCATGATGCGGGATGTGGACAGAACTGGCAAATGGGTGGTGCCTGATATTGTCAGCAACTGTTCTGGTGCCACCGTAGACCAGGGCAGAGATACATGGGCTCTTTTACTCAGAGTTGCAGGTTCCACCGTTGGGGAGACTTCTCCCAGAGGAAGTTCTTTAGACTCACCTCCTGGTCTTTTCTGGCCCTCGCAGTCATGCTTTGGCCATGCTAGCTTCTCTGACACCTTATGCAGGAGGCATGCCTGTCCCAAATGGCCATGAAGTCCCTGCACAAGTCACATTTTTTGAAGCTGGGGGAGCCCAGCATCTTTAAGTAATTGGGGAGACTGGATGAGAAGAAAAGGCTTGGGGGAGGGGAGAGTTAGGGTTAGAGAAGGGGAGAAGAGATGGCTTGGTTAAAAAAACTAGGTGACTAAAAATAGTTAAAGAACTGAATTAATCAAGGTGGTGCACTCAGTTTGTCTTCTGCCAAGGACAGTAGACCTGGAACCAAGGAATTGGCACTGCGTGTGCAGCTAACAAAATAGTACAAGATGGCAACTGTGCATGCACAGCGCAGGAAGGCACTGCTAGGATAAAAAAACCACCAATCACTGGCCCAAGGATGCACTGACAGCCAAGTGGAGCACACAAGGACACTATCTGAAGGAGAATGTTTCCTCTATTCTGCTTTTCACATTGACTCTTCAGATCAATTTAAAAATGACTTGATCAAAGGCTTCTAGGGTAGGTAAGTCCTAAGCTGAGTTTCTAATTCTCTTTTTAAATGCCTTCAAACCACATTTGTGAATCATAAAGCACCACAACCTAGAAGCCTAATATCTTCCTTTTGTAGAAGGGACATTTTCCCGCTTTTAAGAGATATTCTGATGCTATTTTTATGACACTCATTTTATGACTCCTTATTCCCCAAAAGTTTAAACTGACAGTTCACATACACCAGCAGTCACGACCTCCTTGGAGGTTACAACTGTCCTCCAGGGGGGCTACAGCACCTTGATCTGGGCTGGCCGTCTTGGTGCCCAGACAGGCGGCAGGAGTGAGGGGAGTGGCAGGAGTGGAACAGCAATTAGAGGGGCTACGCTTTTTTTTGGCTCAACGAAAATTTTTCCGGAACCATTTTATTGGGCCCAGGGGTCATGAATGCAAAAAGGTTGCACACCCCTGATGCACACTATAGACAGAGAAGAAATAATAGGCATGAGTATTGTTCTACATTAGCATCATTGTTAGCAAAACATACAAACCTTTAAAAGCATAGTATGTTTATCCACTATAATTATGTGGTGCCAGTACAGAAAACCTTGTCTGTCTAATTAACTGTTTTTTAAATTTCTTGGTGTGTACTCAACACAAAAATATATATTTAAACTATTTCATTTAAAGAGAAGCCAGTACATTTTATTGACAGATTCTCTAAACAGCCAATTTAAGAGAAATAGGAAGATTTTAAAAATACAAATTGTTAAAGCGTCTGTAACTTGCATTCAGTGTAAAAACTTGAGGTATAAAAAGAAAACCAGAAGTCTGTAAAGTTAAGTACTTTCCAATCTCACAGTGCAGAAAATAGAACTCATAACAATGGCATTCATTCTACATTTACAATAGAGAAATGTTCCCATGTTTCATTCTGCACATAAATATCTCCTCTATACAAAGCCATTTGAGAATGTTCTATACAAAGATATTTGACATCAATTTTCCTACATAAATATGTAACTGTCATGACTGAACATATAACAGTTGAATAACCTGACTGTCAAAAGCACAAATTGAATCTTGCATATATAAAAATAAAGTTTCCAATAGCAGTGTTTAAAAATTTAAACTCCAAGTAGTTATAATCTTAGAAGAGAAGATCACTGTTTCCCACAAAATGCTTGGGTTGAACTACTCTGTAGAGGGATTACAACATACATTGAGACACTTGATTTTGAATTACAGTAATTAAAAATCTATTTGTTTTAAAGACATGAGTGCAAGACAGCCAATTCTGGCAAGTGCTAGTTTTAAAGAAGGCTCATACATATTATGAAAGTAAGTGTAGTGCTAGTGTATTTTAAAAATAAAATATTGAGAGCTTAAATTACTTAACAGTCTTCACTATTAAGATGTAAGGCAACCAAGACTTGAGAAGCTTACGTTTGGCATCTAGCTGCATAAATCCATCATCTTTCCCCTGATAAATGTATTTCATTTTATAGCAGATCAATCTTGGTTCATAACAGTTACAGAGAAGCAAGAAAAGACACAGGATCAGCTGTCCATAAGGAATATAATTCAGTGCAAGTTTAAGATTTCTCTTTAGCAACCCAGTTAAACATTCCTGATCACTATGAGCAGACCTATCTTAAATGTAAGATTCCTAACACCTACCATACAGTATTAATTCTTTCATCAAAGCTTTTATTACTTACTTCCATCTTGTGGACTATTTTCTGTATTTAAGGGTGCAAAAGTTACCAGATACACAATATTTCATAAAGAGTAAAAACTTGGATTTTACAAAGTATAATTATCTGCATAAAAACTGAGTACGTACACACACACACACACACACACACACACACACTAGAGCAAGAGGTTTATGATAGGCATTTCTTACATGGCTTTTATCAGTGAGGTACTGTTATACCAAAGTTCAGCAACCGGATTTTACTATCAGCTTTTGCATGAAGGCCACATACATAATTCATGTATGCCACAAGTTCATAAAAAAGTGGCAACAGATCGTAAATCCAGCTTTACTGTAGGGTATAATTTTGTCCTATTAGCAGAGAAGGTGCAAGTTACAAAAAGCCATGAAAAACAGATGGCATCAAGTTGAGATATGAGCATGAGCGTGCAGTTCCTTCTGGTAAACTCAGTCTTCCAATGTGCCCATTGCCTATATTAGCAGCATACATCTAGGATTTAATATTCCTAGACAGCAGGACTGTATTGCATGATGGGCATGAGGAGTAAGACATGGGATGTGAAGTACCCTTGCAACTGACTGGTCTTTAAGCTAAGCATGCGCCAGGGCTGAAAACAGTCAAAATGCCCACTACAACACAAAGTAAAATTCTGTAGGCCAAGAAGGAATAATTGATCAGAACAGAAGAGGATGGTCAATTTAAAATTTCCACCCATGATGTAATGGATATAGGGAATAATCCCTGCATTTTATAGCATTTATTTTCTCAGCTTCAAAGAGTGAAGGATTATACTTGTTTGTATCTAAGTATTTACATTTTTCCACCTCTCCCCAGTTCACCACTTATGGAGAAAGATTACACAAAGATAGTTCAACTTACAACTTCATTGGAAGTAGGAGCCATCTTAATGGTTATGCAGAGAGGTTCATATCAAGGACATAAGTTAGAGAGAAAAATCTTAATTCCTTATGACTGAATAGCCATTTTATATTTCATTTTTTCTTTGACATTCTACAGTAGAGACATTTCACAACAAAGCAATGTCTCTCTTCAACCCTTATATCTGTCTGCAGTAAACATTGCTAGACTAAGCAAGGAACCATATCAATGTTTTCCCCACAGACAATATAAAAACATTAATTGTGATAGCTAATGATGCCTGCACTAAAGAGCTGGGTTAAGATTTTAGCCTATTGGCTGAAGCCAAAGGCAGACACTTCAAAGGAAGAACTCCATCGTTAGGACACAGCATAACATTTAAACCTGAAGTTTAACATGTACAACTCGCACTGAAATTTCTGCCAATACTTTCATTTCTGCCATCTGAGTCATGTCAAATCACTTCACCTAAATCAACAAATTCGTCATCTCTCTTGGCCAAGTCTTCCTCATCTTCCAAGTCTTTCCAGGTGCTGGTGGGCAGAACTGGCTTGAGAGAATTCCTCTGAAGCATAGCAAATGGAAACAAAGATGACAAACGAGCAGAATTTCTCAGCATTGGAAGAACTTCTCTGCCTTGGAAGACTGTTTGACTATGTTTTTCATCCATTTTCTTCTGTAAACGCTGCACTTCCTCCATCACGTCCAAGACTTTAGTTGTAGTGGCAACTATACCACCACCTACCAGCTGTGCTTCAGGAATCCATCGTAAATATCGCTGTGCCCAAACTTTGATTCCTGGCCCTTCAATGTGAGGCAGCAGAAGACCATGGAAGTCAACAGGTTTACAGTGCCAGCTATCATAGAACTCTGTAGAGTTATGAAGCTCATCTGAAGAATTTATCAGTTTGCTAATTCTTTTGCCCAGAATGTTTTTAATAAAGTTATCAGTTTCCTCCCTAAAAAATCCTCTTTTTGGAGAAGATTTTGTTTGTGTCAGTGGCAAAGAAAGCTGTCGTTGATGCTTTAAAAAAAACAAAAACAAAAAAACAAGAACGCATTAAAGTAAACTCAATATCACTGGGTATGAAGTCTTTCAGTAAAATATGAGAGAGATTTTTCAAAGCACTTCTAGGGAGCTATATAGGGGCTTAAAAAGGTGATAAAAATTCTAGTAAAGCATTAATTTCAAGCAGCCTGTGCACACTAAAGAAAATTTATATTTTCACACGTTCAGTCTCCAAATTGCAAGCTTCTCAGGATTATTCTGTAGCTGTCCAGCTGCATACCACAGTAACTTAAGCAGTTGTCCCTGGTCTACACTAGGGGTAAGTTTGAATTAAGATATGCAACTTCGGCTATGTTAATTGCGTAGCTTAAGTCAAAGTATCTTAACTTAATTTTGGCGCCGTCCACTCTGTGGGAAGTTGAAGGGAGCACACTCTCCTTCTGACTTCCCTTACTCCTCATAGAAGCAGGACTACTGGCATCAAAAGGAGTACCCTCTCTGTTCAAATTTAGCATGTCTTCACTAGATCTTCCAGGGTTCAAATTAGTGGATCAACTGTGGCTGCTTCGATCTTATCTGTAGTGTAAACGTGGCCTCAGTATTCTTAGTACACAACAGAATATTTAGCCCCAGCCCTAAGAAATGAATGAGGCAGAATTCCTCGTTAGACACCAAACAATGCCGTAATAAAAACCAAGGATATTTTACATGAATTTTTACTACCTTATAATATTTAAAAAGTGCCCATCCATTAAAATGGGTACCTGTGACAATCTCAGCAGACCCATTAGTTACCAGATCCAATTCAGGTTAAAATAATCTAGCAGATTTATAATTAGCTATGCATTTAGATTAAATGGTTTGCTGTGGCTTATGGAACAAGTCTAATAAAGTATCTATTACATTAATTAGCAATAACTGATTTGGTACTACAATAGGCAATATATTGAAGTTATCACTATTCCTATCCTTCTGCCAATGAATAATTCATGTGTAGCAGCCCAGGTTAGGTCTGTGTTTCTTCAGTTGTTTTACAGCTGTAGAAAGCAGATCAAGTAGAAATGCTTCTTTCTAGTGCAAGAAGGTCTCAGAATCCTTGGGTTTCTAATGTGGGCTTTTAAATCTTAAGTATGCCTTCAAACCACATTTGTGAATCATAAAGCACCACAACCTAGAAGCCTAATATCTTCCTTTTGTAGAAGGGACATTTTCCCGCTTTTAAGAGATATTCTGATGCTATTTTTATGTCACTCATTTTATGACTCCTTATTCCCCAAAAGTTTAAACTGACAGTTCACATACACCAGCAGTCAGTTGCAACCTCCAAGGCGGGGCTACAGCACCTTGATCTGGGCTGGCCGTTTTGGTGCCCAGACATGTGGCAGGAGTGAGGGGAGTGGCAGGAGTGGAACAGCAATTAGAGGGGCTACGCTTTTTTTTGGCTCAACGAAAATTTTTCCGGAACCAGAATGTGTTTTGGTTCCTAGTTTGAAATATTTGCCTTAAGTATAAACGACTAGCACAAAAAAGGAAAATGTATTCTGGGTTTTGGACCAAAGTTGATCAAACTTCTTACTTTGAATCGTGTAGTTTTCCGCTGACTTCGGTCCAGTTTTTGCTTCTCTGCATAAAGAGGGTTGTTCAGCAAAACCTGTGCTTTGGGTTCAAACTGCACAGACCAATCCCAAACTGTAAGAAACCTGAAATGGCTGCTTTGTGCATTGTAGCTTTCCCCAGACTGCCAAAACAGAGCAAATAGTTAGCGGCAGCCAAGAACAAAATTCCACAAGACTCTAAAGGTGAAATTGGAATCTTTGACAAAATCCTATAAACTCCACAGCTAGCTGGACACAAATTCTGCAGTAAGATCCCCAGACTCTGCAGTACACTCAAAATAAAAATAATAAAGCCACCCAGATATTTTAAATAGAGGAATTAATGTAGTCTATATCATAACATCAATTTATTTTGGTATTAACCGTTTTATTTTATACAGTCTCCCTTTTGGTCTTTCAAAGGCAGTTTCCTGGAGTGAAAATACCTCATTGCATCATTAAGGTTGTCGAGAGAAATTGGAGGTTTTAAAACCAAATAGGAGACTGATAGTCCTTGTGGCAGGATTGTGAGATAAGCACATTAAGGTTATTCTTCTAAAATGATCAGCACTAAAATAGTTAATGTTGCCAATTGAATTATATTTTAATTACCACAGTTAATATCCCAGACAGATGAACAGGGTACTGCATATGAGCTATTTTTTCAGGCTGTAGACTTTGGAAAAATGACAATGCAGTGATTCACAATTGGTTCATGTTTTCAAGGTTCTCTTCCTTCAAGGCAGCTACATAAAAAGGTATAAATGAAGTGTGGATTTGGAAGCACAATTCTACAGCATGTGAACTGTGGGGCCATGAATACAGAAGACCCAGTGCACAGCTGTAACTGTGCTAGCCACCTTAAGATGTTTTAATGATTCAAAGTCTTATATTCTCATAAATAAATCCCTATTTTGATAGAATAGTAGCAAAAACAGATCTACAACACTGTTTGAAGTATTATGAATATTTATCTTAACAGCCCTGCTCAGGTATCTGACTTTCAGTCTGAAGACACAAAAAGATGAAATGACTTCCCTAAAGCAATGGTAAATCAGGATCAGAACTCAGTGCATCCAGACTCCCCACCCTGTGCTCCATCCATCTACATCACCCTCAGTTTTTTCCTTGGAACATAATTTAATAGCTAGTCCTCATGCCAATGTAGATTAAGTATTATCTATACCATCAGCAAAAGGAATCTCCAACACCAATTCCATAAATCACACCCTTACCATATTAGTGTCCTTTTGATGCTGTGAATTGAAGAAGAAGGTGCTAAAAATAGGTATATATAAACTGTCTGATAAAACAGTTAAGTAGGTCTCTGTGAACTCAAATGCTGGAGGATACTGTTGTACCAATTGCCAAACACAATCTAAGAAGAGCAGAAAAACAGGAGCCTACATAAAAAGAAATATTAAAATCAGTTTCAGAAACGACACTACCCATTGTCCTACCATGCAGATGGCACTCCTAAATTATGTGAATTGCTCCAAATATAATGCATCTAAAACCAGTCATCTGGATTGACAGTGAACTGCATTGAACTGTTTTTACAAACCAGTTTTGTCTAAGACACAGCACAGTTTGCTCTTCATTGATCCATGTGACAATTTAAAATTATGTCATGCTAACTCCTAATCTAGAGAGATTAAAAATTTGCCTTCTTGCAGTAGACATGAAACTTCTGATGAAAACTACAGATCTGCCAAAACCAAATGGATTAGTAGTGAAAGCTGGAGATTAGTTTGGATCAAGAGTCATTGGGAGTTATGCCAAAAAATTTCAAAAGCTATAAATTCCCTCCTCTTGATAAAACTATACAATGAACTTATTCCTAGAATTCAAGGCTACATAAAGAAACTAAATAGGGTAATTGCCACTGGGTGGATTTAACCTGGGACCTCTAAAGCCTAATTAATGTAGGAGCCTCTACAGCTTGAACTATAAAGCCAGCTGGCTCTCAACTTCGGCTATAGAGCTCACTTGCTCTCCTCTCTCCCTGTAAGTGGTCTAAGTGCCACTATATGGGACAGTGAACCACACTAGGTATCAAGTATCAGAGGGGTAGCCGTGTTCATCGCTTTTGCAGATTCAGACTAGGAGTCCTGTGGCACCTTATAGACTAACTGAAGTGTAGGAGCATAAGCTTTCGTGGGCAAAGACCCACTTCGTCAGATGCATCTGACGAAGTGGGTCTTTGCCCACGAAAGCTTATGCTCCTACACTTCAGTTAGTCTATAAGGTGCCACAGGACTCCTTGTCACTCACACTAGGTATGTGGGTTACAGTAGCAAGTTCAGAGATTTAATTAAATCCATGTTAAAGGTCAATATTGTATTGAATTCTGAACTGTACATATTTCAACTCATTTTCCTGCTTGATTAGCAAAATCTATGCTTCTCCTTGCTAGTATTTCAGAAAGACAACTTCAGGGTGTATCTTCTTCCAAAACAGGAATTCCTTTCCAAAGAGTACAGACATGCATTCTTATGGCTGAATCTTCAACCCTGGAGCATGCAAGCTTATGAATGATGCAATGCTTAACCAAAATGTTTAAGATATGTATTGTAACCTACTTAATAGCAACGTTCCAAGGTAACATGTTAAAGGTAATTTTTTTAAAACAAACTATTTTCCAATGGAATGAAAAACAGACAAATGAAGTATCTACAATGAATGAGACAAAATTTATAATTAAGGTCTAGGTTGAACCTTCCAAACCTGGGACCCTCTGGTCTGGCAACATCCCAGTGTCAGCAGGGCCAGGTGATGGCCAGGGAGCTCCAGCCCGGGACCCCCAGTGTTAACAGGGCCACAGAGCCAGGGAGTTCGACCCCCAGCTGGGGAGCCTGTGGCTGCAAGCAGAGCTGCCTGCAACTGGATGTCTCCGGCCAGGAACCCCGGGCAGCCTCTGCCAAGGAGCCCCAAGCTGAAGTGGGGCTGCAGAGGCAGGCGGCTCTGGCTAGGGAACCCACAGAATTCCCAGTGGCAGCAGGGCAGGGCAGTAATGGGAGTGTCTGGACAGCAGCAGCAGCAGCAGCAGCAGCTAGGAACCCCTCCCCCTTTTCTCCCACCCATCAGCAGTAGGCCCAGTGGCTGGATGGCCTCAGATGGGAACCCCGGGGAACACCTTGTGGCAGCAGGACAGACAGCAGCCAAGTATTTCCCACCAGGAAGCCTGGGAGGCCCTTGGGCAATGGGAGGACAGAAAGGTGGGGAGTCATGCCAGGCCAGTTTTAGTGGGGCCAGTGACAGGACAAGGGAGCACCAGGGAGAGGAGCCTGGGAGCTGGGCAGCCAGCACAGGAGCACTGACCTCCTCTGGTCCAGCAAACTCCCTGATCCAGGACAGCTCAGGTCTAGAGGGTGCCAGACCAGGGAGGTCCAACCTATATCTTCAAAGCATACATTTTCAGCCCAAATCCCCATCAACCACAGTGTACAAGCTTTGTGAAGCTGTATTTAAAACAAAACCCACCAAGATTCAAGAAACATACCTCCTCTTTGTCATTTTGCCGTAAATGGTTGCAGCGATCCAAAAAACAATGTCCTCCCATTACCCACTCCTTCTGAATAAGGCTCTGAAAGCCAAACTTTGTTCTGTAGTGTGAATCCATCATCACCTGAACTAGACTGGAGATCACACAGCACAGATCAGAGGCATACTCCTCTAGAAAGTAATAGTGAAAGGATAAAAACGTCACATTGGTAATGCACATTGCTCCCCTTTCCATCTAAATGTATTTCACATTGTTTGGTGTGGCTGATGCTTATGGAAATATAAATTGACAAACAGATTTGCTAGGATTAGTGTAGACTTGGATGCCTATGTAAAGACTTCTATAGGTGCTAGACACCTACTGTACTAGTACTGTCTTTACAGAATAAGTTAATAGATAAAATCGCAGGAAGTACTATTCTGCTCTGTGGTCTTAGTTCATGGTCATCTACACATCTAAAAAGTCTTCTTATATGTATCAATTCTGGCTTCTGATGCTCTCCCGCAAGGAAATAAGACACTAAAACACTAGACTGTTGAGGGCATCTCCCAAGTAGTTACTCTGCTTTGTCCTCACATGCTTTAACCCACACCCAATCCAATTTCATGATGTAAAAAGAAAACAGAGCTGGTAATGATGGAGGGCTGGATGAGATGACAGATGGCAAAAGGGAACAACTAAAGCGAGGAGACATGGAAGGAAAAGAGAAAGTAATGGAACAAGGAGTATACCAAATTGTGCCTTATTCATTTTAAATTATTATAGTCCTTTCTTTCCCACAGAGTCTTGTCTACTAGATTGCAGACTTTTTATAGGGAACCCTTGTGTATGCAGACCAAGAATGTTAATGGACTAGTCGACTAATTGATTCCCCTGTCTTGCTGTGTGGTTCTGCCACTTTGAAATGCGGTGGTGGTGTTTCAAAGGGGGCAGTGCCACACAGCTGATCTCAGGCTCCAGATGGCTTTTCAAAGTGACTGAGTGTCCCGCTGACCCCGGGCTCCACAAGGGCACTTCTGCTTTGAAATGTACAAGAGCCCCCACTGGGGACTCTTGTACATTTCAAAGCTGGCACTTGTGTGCAGCCCAGAGTCAGAGGAACTTATCGCTGGCCCTGGGCTGCACGTGGAGTTCCACATTCCTCCTGCGAAATGTACAAGAGCTTCACCAGGAACTCTTGTACTTTTCAAAGGAGGAAAGCGAAAGTGTCTATCGACTAGCTGATGGAAATTCCATCAACTACTCAACTAATAAATTAATTGTTAGCTAACATCTCTAATGCAAACATGCAGCATCATTGCTACTCAATATATTCTATGCTTCAAACCACTGTACTCTAATACCCACTCCCCATTATTTAACGAAATTATTGCCTTAGGTTAATTTCCTCGAATTGTGGGTCAACTTTTTCAGTACCATAAATGGAGACTGGAAGCTCTGTCTTGTATTGAAAATATTAAACTATCTGGAAAAAGTCTACTTCGCAATTAAATATGCATATATGTGGCTTAACCTTTAGATTGTAGGCCGGTACAGTTAGTGCTTGATCCTGTGACTATTAAGTGTGCATGTAAATCAATCAACTTCTCAAAATGACCATGTATCAAATAAATGTACTGGGTCCTTCTTGAGTAAGCTGAATTAAGCCATTTTCCAGGGCATAATATTCACAATGACAATCATAAGCCACATTATTTGAGCAAACTCTGGTACAGACACACAAAGAATAGATGCAACTCTCCAATAGTTTTTTATTTAACAGTTTGTATAACGATATTAGGGGGTTAATAATCTGAACTGGTTAGGCCAAAAGCATGAATAAAAAAATCTTGACTCTCATATAACAGTCTTTTAATATTTCATCTCTACTCCCTTCCAGTGATTCCATCATGAGCTGAGACTAAGCATGTCAAATTTCAAATACAGGAAACACTAGTTGAAGTACAGGTGGAAGTTTGTATGTGAAGTGCCACAATATTAAATATAGCAAGTTTATTAATTTTCAACTGTTTACCATTATTTCCCTTTCAATACATTTCTCAAAGTGGTAAGCTGATGGGAATGAATAAGAATTAACTGATATGATCATATCTTAATGAAAGATTCTTACCTACAAGGAGAACGTTTGTGTTCTGTCCTTCTAGATACTCAACAACCTCTATTGCTTTTTTCAGACATCGCCTAATATGGTATAGAGCAATAAGACAAAATTAAAATACTTACATGTGGTTTTCAATTAATTAAGTTTAAGCAGCATTATGATGATTCATGTACTTTCAGTCATCTGTTAGATTAGTTTCCCATGAAAAACTACCATGCCAGTCAAAAGCAAGTCTGGGTAGAGGAGATTTATGAAGTTTGTGATTTGGATAGTAACCAAATACAATTCATGTTTTAAAAACTTAATTTTTGGTTATAGAAATTTGTGTATTCTCATTTTATAAAAGTTTTTATTTCCAATGTGCATTTTTTTAAAGATCAGTTTTATATTTCCAATTTATAACAGAAAGATATGAACGAGGTTTCAGCAAAAACAACAAGGAGACCGGTGGCACTTAGCAGCTAACCATTTTATTAGGGCATAAGGTTTTGTGAGTAGCAACTCACCTCATGCAGCTAACAGTGACTTGTAACTCATGAAAGCTTATGCCCTAATAAAATTAGTCTTTAGGATGCTACCGGACTCCTTGTTTTATAATGTCAACATTCATAACACATCAATCTCACTCCATCAAGAAGAGTCTATTTTATTCTGGCCTTTTTCCAACTGCATGTTATAAAAAATTACTACTGTATAGAGTTCAGATACTCCACACGTGTTATACTGAAAGGAAAATAGGAATACTTGACAAGTTTGAAAAGTAGGCAAGTATTTTCTATGTGTGTTTGGGGATGATGATTAAACAAAGCCTCTCAAAATGCAAATAAAAACCAAACATTTTCACATTAGAGGAAATATTTTCTCCCTAGGAAGAAAAGTGAGATTAAAAAACCCCAGAAAATTAATACAAAAAATTCTGAAGTTTTGGGTAAGTTTGAACCATCTTGAAAGTCAGCAACTCATTTGCACACAGAGGAGAAATTCTTGCACATGAGCCAACATAACAGCGTTTTCATCTTTTTTGTCAGACTGTTTAATTCAGAAGTTTGGACCCCAGAACAAAGAGTACTTGCTGAAGTGCCAAGAATCTGCAGAACACACAAGGCCAAGTCTGAATGTTAGGGAGAATGTGAATATGGGTAGGGCACTTCATCCAATTGTGTTTATCACTAGAAGAGAGTCACACATTAAATTATGCAGGTAAAAAAAACCCTTATGTAGCTCATATGCAGATAGGAGAAATGTAATCCAAAAAAGGACAGAAGAATGCAAACATGTCATTCTACTTCTCTGGTCAAGATGTGAGTGTGGGAGCAGAAACAGTATTTTAGTGTCCTTAGAGATAATGTCACCCACCAATCTGGTTATTTCCAAAGTTTCTGGTCAGTCTCCAATAAAAAGAAAGTGTGGTATAGCTAATATTACTTCTCAAACGTTACACATGGGAATTCTATAACAGATGGATATTACAGAGGATATTTCAGATCAGGACAGGTTTTCCATATTCCAGAGTTGAGGATCAGAGGTGTTTAGAAACCCAAGAATTTGGGTATTTCAAGTTCTTACTGGTTTTCCTAGTCTTTCAGACCTTCCTTTCAATACAAAATTGCTTTTAAAGTTATAAATATTTCCAGTTTACATGCTTGGCAAGTAGTTGTCTTTGCATTCTAACCTCTGTTGCCACAATTCAGCTGCTGCTCATCACTAGCAACTCAAAATAAGTTAAATTTTCTGAGATTCCATTTGGCCGCCTACTGAAGCACCTAGCTTCACATGCATTAGAATTTTTTAAAGCCCTTGTTTACATAAAAAGTTCACAAACAATTAACAGTTCTAGTCATGTGACTGGCTATTAGTAGTGCAGATGACCACACTTTCAGTTGTGTTTTCTTTGCAACAGGTATTGCTACATCACTGGAATTCAGCAACCACTGTAGTCTGCACTATGGCTCTCACTAATGTATATGAATTAACATGAGCACAAGTGCCACCTGTACACACAGTCCACAGTACCACACATTTCTTTTTCAAATTACCATCATACCCCATAGATGGTGTATGATGGTATACATTCTATTGTAATCCAGAAGACTGAGGTTTCAAGTCTGTCTGGCTAAGTTTTTGTTTATTCTTTCATTTTTTGTTAGGTTCGTGCAGCAAGTGATGTGAAATTTCCTTCCCACAATGAGAAAGTTTGTGACCACAGTTTGGGAGGTTTTTGTCCTCTCAACAACTGTTTTACAGTGCATCTAGTCTGGCTTCCAAATGTAAATGTTCTATTGGTATCTGATCATAGATTAAACAATGCACATTTTGATCCTATCTAGATTTTATACATCTCAGACTCCGGAAACACAGCAGTGTTAAAGATCCCATGAAATTCACTTCATATAAAAAAAATCATTTATTAAAACTAGCTTTCTAATAACCATGTGTGACCGGGTGAGGAAACCCCGCATGGCAGCGAACCGGTCCGGGGAGGCAACTGGTTGACCTCCCCCCTCCAGTGGAGGAAGCAGCAGAGGCAGTGGCCGGAACACGCAGTGCAGATGGCAGGGTGACGGACGCTAGCACAGGTGCCTGGAACAAGCCCCAGGAATGGCGCAAGCGCAGCAAGAGGCAGGTAGGAAAAAACCTGCGGGGGCAGGGAAGGAGCGCCCAGACGGGAGAGCACTAGCGCAAGGACTGCGAGAGGGAACCTGGAGAACGCCGGCACAGGCGCACGGGAGGACTGTGAAGTAGGGGGCGGAGCCGACATGTCAGGCACCAGCACAGGCGGCCTACAAAAGAGGGTGGACCGCCCTGACCAGGGGAGAAATGGAGGGCCCAGAGCAGGAGCAAAGAGAGGCTCGCCTGTGGACTGATGAATTGAGGCATTGTGCCTCATCAGCCAGGTGGGGGAGAGTGAACATCCCCCACCTTAGGGTCCTGGGCTCAGGGCCCCCTCCCATCCTACTCTGGGATGAGCGTACAGACCATAAACCTTCCAAATTCCTTGATTGGAAAGGACGGGTTAGGTATTCTGGGGAATAAGGGAAGGGGGACCAGAAAATTGGCAGGGGTCACCCCTTCACACCATAGCTGAGTAGTCACCACAGATTCATTTAAAGACTGGACCCGAAGAACTCATATTAAACAGACCTAACGATTTCCAGCCAGTTTGTGCTCTCCAGTAATGAAAACCACTTTACATCAGTATCCCAGAAGTCTGTTCGGTTATCTGTAAAAATAGAAAATTAGATGAGTGCATACAGCTAGCTAGTTATCAGTGGTCTGTCATATAAAACACAACTTCAACAAGGGTGGACGAGGTACCCAACAGATTAAATTTTCTTTTAAGATTATGAAGACTAAATCTAACTGAAAAGTAGCAAACCTGTCCATTATTAGAAAGTCAATGCCTTGTCTGGGCCCAAAATTTTACATAAAAAAACCCCAACTGATTATCTATTTTTTTGTAACAATTGTTCAAGACATGTTGCTCATGTCCATTCCAGTTATGTGCACACCCATGTGCACAGTTAGAAATTTTTTTAAGTGGTATTCATAAGGTTGGTTAGAGGTTTTTTGTTTGTTTGTTTTAATTAAACAAAAGTGCTGGTACTCACCCCTCTGTTAAGAAAAAGACCCAACCAACCAGCCAGATTGGCCACTTCCTGGCAGGCAACAAACTGTTCCCAGGAAAAAAAAAGGGGGGGGGGTGAAAAGGTGACAGTACTCATTTCTTGAGGAGAGTAAGTTGGAAAATTGTCTTCCACCCTTTTTCTTACTGAACCCCCTAAATCCTTTTCTATTGAATTTATTATAAGCTTTTATAATTATATTGAAATAAAGACTGTTGAAATAAAATATCAAAATTAGACATTTGTATGTGCCATTTATTATTTTGATTTTAAAGAATACATGAAGACATACTAAATTAAGTTTTATAGAAAATTCCAAATTTTCATCAAGTTCTCGTCTGACAATGTCCCCACTTCATTCCTTGCTGTTGGTATCTATGGCTGAATGAAGTTTTCGGAATAACCATGAGTCCACATATTTCTTAGGGTCGACGTGTGGGAGGGGCGGACCAACAATTTTAATAAACAATAGTGCTGAAATAGTTTTTGTCATCAACAAAGCTCTGATTGAAGTGATGATCAGATTCATTTGAGAAAATCCTCATTCACATTCACTTGAAGAAATGGGAATAGTACTCAGAGCACGTTTCAAATGCAGCAATTTTTCCAGAATTGTGTTTTCAGTCAGATACTCACAAAATCCGCCAATCATCTCTTTCATTTAGTTGAAATCTAATCAATTTTCTAACTTCACTCTCGCCAAATATCAATTGAGCATCAACATCTTCAGGCCACTGTTTTTAATCAAGCCCACGTACTCATTGCACCAAATCAGCATCTTCACTATCAAGCAACCTTTTTTCGATTAATTTTTTCAAGGTTCTGTAAAAAGCTTCTGGATCAATTGAAGGATAATTTTTGCAATCTTTCTTGTGAAGTGAAACTCCCCGAAAGATTTTCCACAGATTTAGCAGCACTTTCATAATACGGGCCTGGGATCATTTGTCTTTCTTGAAAAATGTGTACTACAGCTTTTATCTTTTGATCTGCCCTGCATAGGTCCATGTCGTGCTCTTGCAAGTCCAAGCTCAATTCGGACAATTCTAGAAAAGCATCACACATCAATCCTAAATCTATATAAAATCTGTGCTTGTAATTTTTTGCTGTAAGCCATCATATGTGCATTTATCTTGTGTCCCTCGTTGAATCATTCTTCGCTTCTTCGAAATGTTGCCCTAAAGCTTCATAGTTTTCCCAAACAGCTGAAACTATTCGGAAACTGAATGCCACCCATTGCGTGCTTAAAATTTGGCCAATTTTTACAAATTGACTCTCCAGCAAGTTCGCACACATTTTCAGTTCTGCTATTTTTAGGCGACGTGTTATACAGCACATAAAGCTTATCAATAATCGCTTTAAATCTGTTGATACCTGAAACAGATTTTACTGTGTCACTGACCGACAGCTCTAATCTGTCATTAGCACAATGCCATACAATTAAAGAAGGAAATTTGTCATTCATTAGTTTCATAATTCCACTTCTATTCCTCAACATCACGGCTGCACCAGTACATGCAACACAAACTAAAATACGTTTTTAAGTACTCTTCCGTCAGGCCGTGTGACTGAACACAATCAAGGAAAGAATCAAAAATGCCATCTGCAGTAACACTTCAGAGTTCCATCAATTCCAAAAATAAATTTACTGCAGAGTTCATTCCACTATCCGTGGCACAAATTTGAACATACATGATTAGGGTCCTTTTTTTACTCAGAGTAGTGGACTCGTCAATTATCAATGAAATTTTCCTATCGACCTAGTATTTTGTTTGCCAATTTTTTTCTCATTTCATCACTAATGTGATTCACGATGTTAATACACGTGTTCATTGAGTGAAGAATATGTTCCATGTCAATTCCATTTAGTTCTTGTAAATCAATTTCAGATTCAAAATTATGAAATGATTGGTTTTCTTTTGCACCTTATATGCTGTGTAAAAATTTTGCAATAATCACTTTCGCAAGATTAAAAACCTTTAAACACATTCTCAAGGGTGTCTCTCAGCTTCTGCAAGCAATTTTAATGCAGCTTTATGCCCCATGCTTTCCTTGTGATCAAAAAGGTTTTTTTGTAAAGATATAAGGTGTTGCAGTCGATTTTCACCAAAACAGGTTATTTTATTGTTTGCCCATTCTTTAGAAATTTCCATTCCTGCCTTCTTTTCTACTCCGAAATTCCAATTTTTTGACAGAGCATACAGCCAAGTTTCTTATTTCAAAAATGTAGCCAATTGTACATCATGCAAAAGTCATTTTTTGATAGACAGTCCAGCAGCTAGGCCAGTCGTCAGTTTGCTCTTAGACACTAATTGAACCAGGAACAGAAACAGTCACTGACTCAATTAATACGTTCTCTTCACTCACTTCCTCACTTGTTCTGGCTTTCTTTTTTATGGAAGGTGAAAAGAAACTTGTAATCCTTTTCATTTTTACTTTGGGGTTCAAGACACAGTAAACTAAAAAAATACATGTGGGGTTCAGTCTCCACGTTGGAAGTCACATGACATGCCTGTATCATGTACAGGGGAAAGCTATGCAGCGTGAGCTGCTCCCAGGGCCAGTGGGAACTGTGCTGGGGAGAAGCGGAGCAAGCTGCTCCCGGGGCCAGCAGCGGCTGTTCTGGGGGAAGTGGCAGTGCTCCCCCAAAAAAAGTGACGGTACGCCATACGTTTTGTGCATACCATCACAAAAAGAGCACTGGCTACAGTGTCTCCTTGAGTGTGGCATATTTAGCACTCATATTTAGGACTCCTCGTCATATTTAGCACTGTGACCCTACATCCTCTCAATTGTTTCTTGACAGCAGCTCCAATAGAGAGGTACGAGGGTGGGTAATGGAATGGACATAAGCAATAAAACTTGAACAGTTACAAAAAGGCAGGCAATTTCCTCCTTCCCCCAATCAAGTGCTTGCTCCTGTCAACTCCATTCTGGGTGACTCACCAGCAGTATACTCTGAGGTGAGCTTAGAGTTCATAGTCTTACATTGTCTACCAAAGCTAGCATCATCCCGGGCCTGCTGGGTAGTGCATAATTGGATAAGAACATGTGGATGAGTGATCAGATGGCTGCCCTACAGATGTCTTGGATCAGTATTTAGAATAGGAAAGCTGCCAACATAGCTTGCATCCAGGTTGAACAGGAGTTACGATTGCTCATAAGAACGGCTATACTGGGCCAAACCAAAGGCCCATCTAGCCCAGTATCCTGTCTGCTAACAGTGGCCAATAACAGATGCCCAGAGGGAGGGAATCACAACAGGTAATCCTCATGTGATCCCTCCCGTGACTCACCTCCAGAGAAACAGACTAGAGATACCATTCCTATCCATTCTGGCTAATAGATTCATGGAGATTAGGTTCATCAATGGCTATCTGGCTCTTTTTTGAGCCCTGTTAAAGTTCTAATCTTCACCGTATCCTCTGGCAGATTTTCAGGTTGTTTAAAGAACTTAACATTCTAACCAATCTAGATACTTATGGTCCTCCTCATTTTGTGAGTTTTTCACACAGACTACATACAACTTGAGGCATGTGAATTCCTAGTGTGAATTCATTATTTCCTTTACTATGTGTATTATTACTTACACATTCTCACATCAAAATGACTGACTAAGTCTTTTACTACTGGTTAATAATACTGGTAAATTAAATCAGTGTTTTATTTTATGCTGCAGAGAGCCTGCAGAAGAGAAATTGATTCACCGGCAGCTTCTGAGCCAGAGAATAGCTCCTTAACTTAGAACAGGTTAACTGTTGAAGACCATTTTAACTATGCAAGACATCATTTAACAAGCAGAAGCCACAAAAAGTTTGTTCAGCATGAGCATGCATACAGCTGAGTAAATAAGAAGTACATTAAAAAGCTGTATTTTTTTACATATACTCCATATATTTAATGGATCAAATCTCTTTAAATAGAACTGTAATAGCAACATGTTACAGTATGTGTTTAAATAACTATAGCTCAGTCACTGAAAGATGTGTCTAATCTTTTTCCAATTCAATTCCAACTCATGCTTATAAGCTACCTTCACATTTACCTTTTCTCCTTACTACACAGGTGGAAATTGATGGCAACTATGGAGGAGAGGAGATTTCTGAGTAACTGCCAGGAGACAGACTGATCATGTGTTGTGTCGGACTCATTTATTTACTAGCTAGTTGAAGTCAGTGGGCAAATGAAGGATCTACTGGAAAGAAGGGGCAGTGGGACTATTGGAGGACCTATACATTCCAAAGGACATACAGGCAGTCCCCGGGTTACGTAAAAGATAGGGACTATAGGTTTGTTCTTAAGTTGAATTTGTACGTAACTCGGAACTGGCTCCAGATTCAGCTGCTGCTGCTGAAACTGGCCAGGGGCTGACTACAGGAAGCCCGAGGCAGAGTTGCTCTGCCCCCAGCTTCCTGGAATCAGCCACTGATCAGTTTCAACATCGGCTGAATCTGGAGCCTGGGACAGAACAGCTGGGGCGCTGCCAGGTAGGTCCCCCCAGGACCAACCCGGCAGCACCCCAGCTGCTCTACCCCAGGCGTCCACAACAAAAGCTTGGTCTGCTGGGGGGGGTGCACCCCAGGCATCCACAACAAAAGCC